CGCCGAGCGCCATCGGAGTCGTCGCGGATCTGGTCTCTCCTTCCATGCTCGCTCGGCATAAGCATGATGAAGGTTCGATCCGCCCTCGGCGTCCAGCTGCGCGGCGGCTGGGTCTCAGACAAGAGCTTCAGGCAGCGCGCCATGCACGCTCGCATCATCACCAAGCTGCGGCGCGTCGGCCAGCGCGTGCTCTCCTTCGGCCAGCCGATGGACGCCGCGATGCCGCTGACCTTCCAGCTGGCTGCGCCGCTGCCCGAGCTCTGCCTGACCTTGCGCGGGCGGTAGAGCTCGCTGGTCCATGCGGGGGGGGGGCCCTTCGACGAAATCGATCCGTCGTCGCCTCCTCCTCCTCGGACTGCTGTCCTGGAGTTGTTCGCCGGGACTGGCCGCCTGTCAGCAGCGCTGCGCCGCCGCGGGCTCGCCGCGCTGCCGATGGATTTCGCGTCGGAGCTGTGGTTTGATCTCAACAATCCTGTTGTTCGCCAGATCGTGCGAGGCGGGGTCGCCTCGGCCGTCTGGATCGCTCTGCCGTGTTCATCCTGGAGCCAGGCCAGACGGGCCGCCTGGCTCTTCTTGGTGCACTATCCGATCAAAGGACCACGTCTGGGGGCTGCCCAACCTGGCAGCCGGGCCGCAGGCGGCCGTCGACCTCGGGAACCAGCATCTCCGATACGCCCTGAGCCTGATCTCGCTGTGTCGCGCTCTCGGGACTCCCGTCTACGTCGAGAACCCAGGAGGCTCATGGGTCTGGAGTACACCTGCGATGACGGCCCAGGTGGGGTCCAGCGACGCCGTGTCGTTCGACGTCGACATGTGCTCGTTCGGGGCCCGCTGAAGGAAGTTCACGCGTGTGGCCTGCTGGGCCCGTCACCACTCTGGCGTTCTCGTGAGGCCGCGGTGCAGTTGTAGATTGGGCCTCTGCTCTTTTTTTGGTAAGCCCCACATGGTCCTCTCTGGCCTTGACCCTGTTTTTGGGATCTTGTGGACCCGCCTTGCCGAACCTTATCCTGTCAAGTTTTGTAGCTGTTTTCCGATTTCATTGCAAGGCAAACAGGATATCAAGGTTTCAAGCGTTTGGTTTCCCTTGCCTGTCCTGTCTCTGATAAGTACTCTAGTTCATGTTCTTCGTGCTCCTTCTTAAGTTTATGTTCTCTCGGCGCCGTCTTGCCGTCGCCATTTCTCCTCTCGGGCTCGGGCCTCCTCCTCGGTGTTGTGTGGGTGCGTTGGGTCCTCCTCCTCTTATCCGTAAGGGCCGTCTCCTGCCGCCGGCCCCCTCTCTCGGAGAATGGGCCATGGAAGAGCTAAGTCATGAGGCCTTGGCGCTGTCGTGAAGCAGTATCGAAACTTCATGCGAAGCCGAGTCGCAATCAGCAAAACCAACTGATCACAAGAGGGGTTACCACACCTGGCGATTGGTAAGACGTGTATGGTTTAAGGGCTTGGTTACCACACCTTGCGATGAAAGGGCCGAGGGAGTTCTCGCAGTTTGGGTTACCACGCCTTGCGATGGATGTGCGTGATAGGTTCGAATTTCAGAAATGTGGCAAATCCCTGTGTTTTTGGACCCTGACCCCGCGGATCTGCGTGAGGGGTGGCACCGAATTTCAGAAATGTGGCAAATCCCTGTGTTTTTGGACCCTGACCCCGCGGATCTGCGTGAGGGGTGGCACCGAATTTCAGAAATGTGGCAAATCCCCTGTGTTTTTGGACCCTGACCCCGCGGATCTGCGTGAGGGGTGGCACCGAATTTCAGAAATGTGGCAAATCCCCTGTGTTTTTGGACCCTGACCCCGCGGATCTGCGTGAGGGGTGGCACCGAATTTCAGAAATGTGGCAAATCCCTGTGTTTTTGGACCCTGACCCCGCGGATCTGCGTGAGGGGTGGCACCGAATTTCAGAAATGTGGCAAATCCCGTGTGTTTTTGGACCCTGACCCCGCGGATCTGCGTGAGGGGTGGCACCGAATTTCAGAAATGTGGCAAATCCCTGTGTTTTTGGACCCTGACCCCGCGGATCTGCGTGAGGGGTGGCACCGAATTTCAGAAATGTGGCAAATCCCCTGTGTTTTTGGACCCTGACCCCGCGGATCTGCGTGAGGGGTGTCGATTTCGAGCTCCCCCAGCAATTCAGACAACGCGCCCAGGTGAGGCTAAAAATCCTGTTTGGGCCTCCCCCCCCCTCGCGCGGTCAATCAACTAGTTACAGTAACCAGCAAGAAGTCAACTAGTTACAGTAACCAGCAAGAAGCAGAACTGTAACACTGGAAACTACAACCTACGACTGGTAGAGGAAACTGCAAATCACGCGCCTACAGCCTGGTGGCCCCACAAGGGGGCCGGCGGATCTCTCTGCTGTGTGTCTCGTTCGCTCGCTGCTGCGCCTTCGGTGGAGTCGCCCGGGACGCCCGCCACAGAAATGGTTAGGGTGGCCTGGGGTGTAGCAGGATATGACCGTATTTGCACATCTCATCTCAGGTGGAACTGAAGGCCGTCGTGGTCACGCATATCGCCGCGACCGCGTCGGCTCAAGTCTTTTGCTGGCCCGCCCTCCTCTCCCTCTTCCTGTTCTCTCCTCTTCGGTGTTGTGTGGGTGCGTTGGGTCCTCCTCCTCCTCTTCTCTCTCTGCCGTGTGTCTCGTTCGCTCGCTGCTGCGCCTTCGGTGGAATCGACCGGGACGCCCGCCACACAGAAATGGTTGGGGTGGCATGGGGTGTAGCAGGAGATGATGATGATGATTGTGGTGGTGATGATGATGATGCGCCTGATGATATCGATTACGATTACGATGACAACGGTTACGAGAATGATGATGATGATGATGATGATGATGGTTACGCTGATGATGATGACGATGATGCTGCTGATGACGATGCCGATGATGATGCTTATGCTTGTGCTGCTGCTGATGATGATGATGATTATGCTGATGCTGCGGGCGATGTTGATTATGATGGTGATGTCGGTGACGATTATGATGATGATGCAGTTGATGATGATTTTTACGATGATGCTGCTGCTGTTGATAATGTTCATGTCGATGATGCTGATGCTGATGCTGATGATGATGATGCTGATGCTGATCATGATGAGGCGGAGGATCAGGAGAATGATGATGATGAGGATGATGATGATGAGGATGATGATGATGATGATGATGGTGACGATGACGACGACAACGACGACGACAATGATCATGCCAGGAGTACGATGATTCTGGTTGTGGTTAGCGTGATTAGTCTGGTGATGATACTGTCCAGGGCGATGGTTGTTGATGATGGTGATGATGCCGATGATGATGATGATGATGATGATGATGATGATGATGATGATGATGATGATGATGATGACGATGACGATGACGATGACGACGATGATGATGATGATGATGATGATGATGATGATGATGATGATGCTGATGATGATGATGCTGATTATGGTGGTGGTGGTGATGATGATGATGCAGCTGATGATGATGATGATGATGATGATGATGATGATGATGATGATGATGATGGTGGTGGTGGTGGTGGTGGTGTTGGTGATGCTGATGCTGATGCTGCTGATGATGATAATGATGAGGATATGGATGACGATGACGATGGCGATGATGATGCTGATGATGATGCTGCTGATGATGCTGATGATGATGCTGCTCGTGCTGCTGCTGATGACGATGATGCTGCTGCTGATGATGATGCTGATGGTGATGATGCTGAGGATGAGTATGAGGACGACGATGGTGATGATAAGGAGAAGGATGGTGAGGTTAATGATGAGGCTGTTGTTGATGATAGTGATGGCTGTGATGATACTAGTGCTGGTGGTGGTTGTGGTGGTGACGATGATGATGATGATGATGATGATGATGATGATGATGATGATGATGATGATGATGATGATGATGATGATGATGATGATGGGCAAGGAGAACATGAGGATGATGATGACGAGGAGGAGGAGGATAATGTGAGGGATGAGGGGAGCGAGGAGGAGAAGTTGGCTTCGGAGGATGCGGATGAGAGGGATGCGGGGGATGAGGAGTCTGAGTCGGAGACGGGGGAGGGGAGGATGCGGAGAAAGAGGGGGGACAGAGGAGGAGAAGGACAACTATTGGACGAAGGAAAGCGGGTGGGGAGGGGGAGGAAATGGAGGGAGGGGGAGGGGGAGGAGTAGGCGGGGGAGGAAGAGAGGTGGATGAGGAGGATTGCGACGAAGACGGTGATGGTCGTGGGGAGGAGGGTGATGTTGACGTCGATGATGTTGATGGCGAAGGTGGTGATAGTGACTGTTGCGATGTTGTTGTCGATGTTATCAACGGGCGTGACGTTGTTCAACAGTAGAACGATGATGTTTACGTAGGATGAGGATGACGACGAGGCTCGCACCATTTCGATAGGATCTCGACTGATGAAGACGATGCGCAATCTGAGAAGGATGCCCTACCCCCTCCTCTCTCTGCCCACCACGCTGCGGCGCGACACGCTGACCACGTCCAGGTTCCCGAGCGTCAACGTCCCGAGCTCTTCCCAGCCTCCCGCCCCGCGGAGCAGAGCGAAACGCCATCCGCTTGCAGGGCATAGCATGTCGCCGGGGCCGCCGCCGCGACACGCTGAGCAAATGTTCCCAACCGTAGGGGCGACGCGCGTCCTCTTTGAAGAAGCTCAGAAATCCTCCAACGTGGGCCGCCTCCCCCATAGCGGCGCCCTCAAAGCACGTCCATGGAGGCCTTCTCGGCGGAGGTGTCGAGTCCGCCTGCTCCGCATCGTTTCGTTCGGGGCAGCTTAAGGCGAGCGCCTTGGGTTTCCTGCACATGCGAGTGTGAATTGAAATGCACGCACATCAGACAGACATTGTGCAAGACCTCCCCCGCCTCCCCCGCCTCCTCCGCCTCCTCCGCCTCCGCCTCCTCCTCCTCCGCCTCATTCCCTCCATTTCTAGGGCCCAGGGGCTTTCCGCTCCGCGTCCAGGCCGCCCTCCTCCTCCGACCCTGGTCTCTGCCAGGCCGAGAGGGCGGCGGACCTGGCGCAGTACTTCCCGATATTCCTGTGGCGCCTCCTTTGCCCGCCTGCCGCTCTCGCGCTCGTCATCGTCGTCGTCGTCGTCGTCGTCGTCGTCGAGGCCCGAAATCGAGGAACGAGTGTCGAGGATCGGGGGCGCGGCCGCGGGCGAGGGGGCCGAGGGCGCGGGAGCGGGAGGGGTCTCTTTTTTAGGCCACGAGGGCGCTGGTGGGTTCAGTGCACCCATGGGTCTCGTGCTCCCCACGACGGCGCTCATGTGCCTGTGCAGGAGGGTGCGTCAGCTGGCGTCTGGCTGCCGAGGGGCTCATTGGTTCTTGCGTGCGATGTGGCGTAGCGTTTCCAGGAGCAAAGGGACATTCGATGCGAATGCGATGTACTCCCTACCTGTAGCCAGGAGGAAGATGGGGGAGAGGTAGGATAATCTACGCGGTAGAAGGGGGAGAAGGTGGAGGAGGAGGGTGATGATGATCATGATGATGACGAGGAGGAGGATGAGGAAGAGGAAGAGGATGAGGATGATGATGATGATGCTGATGATACTGCTGATGATGATGCTGATGACGGTGATGATAATGATGATGCCGACGAGGATGCCGATGATTATGATGATGGTGGTGATGCTGATGCTGATGCTGATGATGATGCTGATGATGGTGCTGATGCTGCTGATGATGCTGATGCTGATGCTGAAGATGCTGATGCTGATGATGATGATGCTGATGATGCTGCTGCTGATGCTGATGATGCTGATGATGCTGATGATGATGCTGATGATGCTGCTGATGATGACGATGATGATGAGGCTGCTGATGATGCTGATGATGCTGATGCTGCTGATGCTGATGCTGATGCTGATGATGATGCTGCTGACGATGCTGATGATGATGATGATGATGATGATGAGGAGGAGGAGGAGGAGGAGGAGGAGGAGGACGAGGAGGAGGAGGAGGATGCACGTTCCAGGCTGCCGCCTCTAGTTGGTGTACTTTCCAGAATAAGAGGAGGAGGAGAAGGAGGAGGCGGAGGTGGAGGAGGAGGAGGACCATTGGGAACCCAAGAGTCATCAACGATGTTGTAATTAACCCTTCCTCCAAGCTCCCTCTTCGTATGCCCCTACAACGGTTCATTTCCATTGAGGAAGCTGCCTCGTTGGAAGACAACAGTTTGAAGATCTTGAAGCGTGCCAACACATTGTTCTCGGGATTTAAGTACCACGTGTCAACCTGGCTGCTGCGTCTTGACGATCCAGAACCGCGCCGGAACGCCGTGTTTGGGACTTCAACACAGTGAACCAACATAACTGCTGCGCCCGCATAATTCTTCATCCTTCCAAAACACAATTTCTGGTGCGTTGACCATGGGCATCCGTGAAACTCTTGCAAATCTGAAAAACGAGCATGCGCGGCGCTAAGGCGAGAGCCGCATTTTGAAAAGGAACCGCCCTCAATCCGTGAAACCCTTGCAGAGTTTTAAGACGAATGTGCGCGGCGCTAAGGCGAGAGCCACACATTGAAAACGACCCGCCCTCAATCCGCGAAGCTCTTGCAATTTTGTAAGACGAATGTGCGCGGCGCTACGGCGAGAGCCACATATTGAACACCACCCGCCCTCAATCCGTGAAGGTTTTGCATTTTTCAGATGAGTGTGCGCAGCGCGAGGGCGAGAGCCACATTTTGAAAACGACCCGCCCTCAATCCGTGAAACGCTTGCAATTTTTTAAGACGAATGTGCGCGGCGCTAAGGCGAGAGCCACAGTTTAAAAGCGACCCGCCCTCCATCTTTGAAACTTTCGTCACTTTTTGAGCTTTAGAGTCATAAGTGGTGAGGAGGTCTCAGGCGAAACGCCCGGACCGCCCTAACAACTGGCCTCGGGGTGCAACAGGGAGGAGTTAACTATAAGGAGAAGGAATGGAGGAAAAGGAGGAGGAGGAGGAGCAGGAGGAGGAGGATGAGGAGGAGGAGGAGGAGGAGGAGGAGGCGGATGAGGTGAGGAGGGGGAGGAAGACGAGGAGGAGGATGAGGAGGAGGAGGAATACGATGAGTAGGAAGATGAGGACGAGGCGGAGGAGGATGCGGAGGAGGTGGAGAACGAGGGTGAGTGGGCGGATGATGATGAGGAGGAGGAGGAGAAGGAGGCGGAGGCGGAGGAGGATGAGGATGAGGATGAGGATGATGATGATGATGAGGAGGAGGAGGAGGAGGAGGATGGTGATGGTCAGGAGGAGGAGGAGGTGGAGGAGGAGGAGGAGGAAAAGGAGGAGGAGGAGGAGGAAGAGGATGATGATGATGATGATGATGATGATGATGATGATGATGATGATGATGATGATGATGATGATGATGATGAGGATGAGGAGGAGGAGGAGGAGTTTGAGAGGGAGGAGGACAGGGAGGAGGAGGATGAGGATGCTGATGATGGTGATGATGATGATGCTGATGATCAGGATGATGAGGATGCTGCTGATGATGATGCTGATGATGATGCTGATGATGATGCTGATGATGATGATGATGATGATGATGATGATGATGATGATGATGATGATGATGATGATGATGATGACGATGATGATGATGCTGATGATGAGGAGGAGGAGGAGGACGAGGAGGAGGGCGAGGAGGAGGAGGAGGAGAGGGAGGATGAGGAAGAAGAGGAGGAGGAAGAGGATGAGAAGGAGGAGGGGGGAGGGGGAAGGCGGAGGCGGAGAGGAGGATGGGGAGGAAAGAGGGGGACGCGGAGGTATGAGTTGATCACGATGATGATGATGCTGAGGAGGGAGGAGAAGGAGGGGAGGAGTATGAGGAAGAGGAAGCGGAAGAGGGAGGAGGAGGAGATGAGAAGGAAGAGGAGGAGCTGGAGGAGGAGGAGAAGGAAGGAGGAGGAGGAGCAGGAGGAGAGGAGGAGGAGGAGGAGGAGGCGGAGGCGGAGGCGGCGGATGAGGAGGAATGAGGAGGAGGAAGAGGAGGAGGAGGGGAGGAGGAGGAGGAGGAGGAGGAGGAGGAGGAGGAGGGGGGAGGAGGAGGAAGGAGGGAGGAGGAGAGGAGAAAGATGGATGAGCAGGAGGAGGAGGAGGGGAGATGAGGAGGAGGAGGAGGAGGAGGAAGATACGTAGAGGAGAAGAGAGGAGGAGAGAGGAGGAGAGAGAATGAGGCAGGAGGGAGGGAGGGAGGGAGGGATGGACGGAGGGAGGGAGGGAGGTAAGGAGGAAGGGAGGGTGGTGGAGGAGGAGGAGGAGGAGGAGGAGCAGCCTGCGTAAAACAGGGTGCTGCGCGACTTCCACCTGCGACTGGCCGACGACAAGGGGAACTCCATCACAGAGAAGGAGTACCTCGAGAAGGCGATCGGGAGACTTTCCCTGTCCGGGAAGAGGGGATCACGAGGAGGAGGATGAGGAGGATGAGGATCAGGATATGGACGAGGATGAGGATGAGGATCTTGATGGTGATGGCGGTGGTAATGGTGCTGCTGATGATGATGTTGATGCTGCTGCTGATGATGATGCTGCTGATGATAACGCTGATGCAGATGAGGATGCTGATGCTGCTGCTGCTGATGATGATGATGATGATGCTGACGATGCTGATTCGGATGATGCTGCTGATGATGCTGCTGCGGGTGATCATGCTGCTTATGATGATGATGATGATGATGCTGATGCTGATGATGCTGCTGCTGATGATGATGCTGATGCTGATGATGACGATGATGCTGCTGCTGATGATACTGATGATGCTGATGAGGCTGCTGCAGATTATGATGATGATGCTTATGCTGATGATGATGATGATGATGATGATGATGATGCTGATGATGATGATGATGATGATGATTATATGATGCTGATGATGATGATGCTGATGATGATGATGATGGTGGTAGTGGTGATGATGCTGCTGACGATGATGCTGATGCTGCCGTTCATGATGGTTAGGATGGTGGTGATGCTGCTGATGATGATTATTCTGCTGATGATGATGATGCTGATGATGCTGCTGATGCCGACGATGATGATGCTGCTGTTGATGATGCTGATGATGATGCTGATGATGCTGCTGCAGATTATGATGATGATGGTGATGGTGGTAGTGATGATGATGCTGCTGATGATGATGCCGATGCTGCTAATCATGATGGTTAAGATTGTGAGTCCGCTGCTGATGATGATGCTGATGATGATGCTGGGGCTGATGTTGATGATGCTGCTGCTGATGATGTTGATGATGCGGATTCTGATGATGCTGCTGCTACTGATAGTGATAATGATGATGCTCATGATGCTGATGATGATGCTACTGGTGACGATGATAATGATGAAGATGATGATGATGATGATGATGATGATGCTGATGCTGATTCTGATGCTGCTGATGATAATGATGATGATGTTGATGATGATGCTGATGATGCTGCTGCTGCTGATGATGATGATGATGATGATGATGCTGCTGCTGGTGGTGATGATGATGATGATACTGATGATGATGATGATGATGATGATGATGATGATGATGATGATGATGATGGTGATGGTGATGGTGATGGTGATGGTGATGGTGATGGTGATGATGGTGATGATGATGATGATGATGATGATGATGATGTGATGATGGATGATGATTGATGATGATGATGATGATGATGATGATGATGATGATGATGATGATGATGATGATGATGATGATGATGATGATGATGATGATGATGATGATGATGATGATGATGATGATGATGGAGGGTCCTTGAACTTTAATCGTAGAACGTGGGAGGGCCGTGCGGTTGCGAGCTTGCGATATCTGCAATCGCCACGGCTCAAGCCTTTCTCTGTGGAGGCTTCAGGTGGCCCGCGCGGGGCCTCGTGCATGCGTCCCGTGGCCCGAGGCGTGACGCTCGTCGCGTTCCACGCCTGCGCGGCCTGGCTGGGGCGCCTGTGGGGCGGCGCCCGCCCGCTGTCGGCTGCGCCGGCCGCCCCAGAGGCGCTGCGGCCGGCGCCTGCCCCCGCCCCGCCAGCGCGGGGCTGCCCGGCGGCCGCGCCGCCGCCCGTCGCGCAGGTCGAGGACCTCTGCGTGGCCCTCGCTAGGTGCTCGCCAGCGCCGGCCTTTCCCGCGTGGGACCTGTGCCCTAATCACTGCCCGGCGTGCCCCGGGCCGGAGTCAGGGCGGCTGACCTGGGGCGGCGATCTGGGCTCCGGGCTGCTCGCACTCCTCGTGTGGGAGGTGCTCACCACTGGCGTGGCCGCAGCTCGCCGCCTGGCGCTCCGCCTCACCAGCGGCCTCTGGAGCATCCTGTGGGCACCTCCTTCGGGAGTTGGCTTTCGGCCAGCTGTGGAGGACGCGCTCGATCGGCGAGTACCTCGCGGACGTGGGCAGGTGCTGACGCCAGATGAACATCGGCGATGAGGTGCTGGTGGCTTATGATGTGCCAGGCACTGTGCTGCTTCACCGCCGCGTGGCGGTGCGTGTCAGCGCCGTGCAGCCGCTTCACGCTGCAATGGTCTCGCCGGACCACGACCTGTTCATCGATCATTTCACGGCCGACATCACGGACATCGCCGCGTGGCACCTTTGTGGTCCTGGCGGGGCGGTTCTCGCTGCTGCAGCGGGCCAGGCGATCTACGACTTCCAGCCGGCGTTCACGGCGCAGGAGTTCTTCGGCTTCACGCGGGAGACCGACCGCGTCATCGCGGCCCACGACGCTCAGCTCGAGCCCGGAGGGCGTGCCCGCGGCGGTCCCAGGGGCTCCGGCAGGCGCAGGCGGCGGCGGAGGTCTCGGTGTGGCTGGCGGACCTGGGGGTGGCTTGGCGGCTCTCTTGGGCGGCGGCGGTGCGGCTCCTGCAGGCGGCGGTGGGGCACTGGCGGGAGGCGGCGCGGGCGCCGTGATGCCCGCTGGCGGTGCCCCAGCCGCGGTGGGCGGCGCGGCAGCTGGCGCCGCCTTGGCGGCCGCAGGCCCCCCTGCGGCGGCGGCTGCGATCGGCGGCGGAGCGGCAGCTGTTGCAGGGTCCGCGGCGCCCGTCATCGGGCATGCTGGGCTCGCTGCGGCTCTCGCAGGCGCTGATGACGGAGCAGCGCTTCCTGGGCCCGCGGCTGGCGGTGGCTCGGGCGCGTCGGGCCGCCGCGCGCTGTCGGCCCCCTACGACGCGAATGGTCAGCGGCACAGGTCGTTCGCAGATGCGGTCGCCATCCTGGCTCCCTCTCAGTGGGCCGACTGGCCCGTGCCCGGGCCGCGGACCGTGGCCTGGGTGGCGCGCTTCATACTGGAGAGCTGCGGCAGTGCTCTGGGCCATCTTGTGCAGTGGCAGTCCAACATGAGGCTCGCGCTCGACGACGTCACCGTGTCCACGCACCAGGAGTCCACGCGCGCACTGGGCTCTGGAATCGGTGGCACGACAGATGCAGTTGTGTGAGGAGCGCCGCCGCGACAAGATCCTGGGCACGGAGCTTGGCGATGAGTCTCATCGGGAGGAACGCTATTGTAGTGGTCTCCGGCCAGTGCCGCCGATCCGGGGCGCTCCGCAAGATGAGGGAGCTGGGTTGCAGGGGGAGGGTCTGCTCTGCAGGGGGGGTCCGCTCGGCAATGCGG